GTAATAAAATAGGGTCTAGACGAAATTTAAACCATCTCCTTATTTGTAATGTTTAAGGCGTACTTACCATACAGAATATGACTTTACTATATATATGCGCACTATCTTCAGTAAAACGAAAAAAAAAGAAAAACGATATTCCATTTTCCCGTAAATTATTATGTAAATTAAGGTGCTCTATAAGCCTATGTTATAGAATAATTTACCCTTGGTTTTTAATAAATTAAGACTAAAAGAGAGGAATAGATCTAAAATACTGACTGAAAATTCTAATAATCATCAACGTCACGATGTCATTAGTGAATTGGGCGCCATTTTGTAGTTGCATGAGCGCTAGATAGTATTGCACCACATTACCGAACACGTCTATTGAAACAGGAATCATATAATATTACAATTTTCCATTTCTCAATTAATAACTTTTTTCTATTTCATCATTTTGAATCTAATATGCCTATTATAATAAGAGTTCAGATTTTTTTTTTATTTCATAGACTAGTAATTTTTTTATAGGCCTAAAATCAAAAAGACCTAATGATGTATGATTAGTGATTTTGAATTAGCTTTCGAAAATCCATAGCGTCTTTTTTATCTAGATCAATTTTTTCAGGGGCAGATCCAAATAAGAAATATTATATGGGTAGGGGCAATATTAAACACGTTTCACAATATCTGACTACCTAAAAAAGGCTGTAATACTAGGTGGAAGTTTCATTATCCTTTAAACAGACATTTGTTACAATACATAAAAAGTCAAAGCAAAATGGTTCTGTGCTAAATGAAAATTTAGCTTTTTAAAGAACAAACAATGAATTTACTAATGATTTTACAATGCTTTTTTTTTCTTTCCATAAGATGTGTATAAGAGACAGGTGTATATATATGTATATATATATATGTATGTATATATACAATATATAATATATATAAATATATATATACACTATATATATACAATATATATAAAATCAGCAGAAAAAAAGTAATAAACTTTCTTCAGAAGGTCACTACACTGACTTTTTTTTTTTTTTAATTCAGGAGCATTGTGGGTATTCCAAATGAGATTTGGGAATTTCCAGTTTGTGACGTTGAAATCAGTATCCCTAGCATTCGCGCATTGATACTATTAAATCGTCTGCATTGTAATCAATTTTGGGTTGGGTTTTTCTTCAAACGTAAATCTTACCCGAACCGACTGGATCATCGTGTTTTTATTTTATTTATTCTCCCTATTTTAATTCAAGGTACGTATTTATTTTAAATGGATAGTTTGACAATTACATATACAGTACTGTGAAAATTAAAATAATTTTAGTTGATAGATCAATAAAAACTGAACATTAATTGATAATATTTCCGCCTTACTTCGGATAGGCCTAGGACGGAATTATCACGAGTGTCTGCTGTTGAATTGAATTGGTATGGCCTACCAAAATTATAAGAACGTTAGTTTCATTACGATGTTAATAATGATAATAATATCAATCATATCACAGTACATTGTTATAAAAGTAATAAAATAGGGTCTAGACGAAATTTAAACCATCTCCTTATTTGTAATGTTTAAGGCGTACTTACCATACAGAATATGACTTTACTATATATATGCGCACTATCTTCAGTAAAACGAAAAAAAAAGAAAAACGATATTCCATTTTCCCGTAAATTATTATGTAAATTAAGGTGCTCTATAAGCCTATGTTATAGAATAATTTACCCTTGGTTTTTAATAAATTAAGACTAAAAGAGAGGAATAGATCTAAAATACTGACTGAAAATTCTAATAATCATCAACGTCACGATGTCATTAGTGAATTGGGCGCCATTTTGTAGTTGCATGAGCGCTAGATAGTATTGCACCACATTACCGAACACGTCTATTGAAACAGGAATCATATAATATTACAATTTTCCATTTCTCAATTAATAACTTTTTTCTATTTCATCATTTTGAATCTAATATGCCTATTATAATAAGAGTTCAGATTTTTTTTTTATTTCATAGACTAGTAATTTTTTTATAGGCCTAAAATCAAAAAGACCTAATGATGTATGATTAGTGATTTTGAATTAGCTTTCGAAAATCCATAGCGTCTTTTTTATCTAGATCAATTTTTTCAGGGGCAGATCCAAATAAGAAATATTATATGGGTAGGGGCAATATTAAACACGTTTCACAATATCTGACTACCTAAAAAAGGCTGTAATACTAGGTGGAAGTTTCATTATCCTTTAAACAGACATTTGTTACAATACATAAAAAGTCAAAGCAAAATGGTTCTGTGCTAAATGAAAATTTAGCTTTTTAAAGAACAAACAATGAATTTACTAATGATTTTACAATGCTTTTTTTTTCTTTCCATACCATCGACAAGTGTCATTGTAACGAATGCGTACGTTCAAATAAATAAATTGTGTTGATACTGTAATAATAGGACTGTATAAACCATATTAGATATACTTGTTCATCATTCAAAGATTTAAAAATTAAGAGATACAACAGGTTTGGAAAAGGTTAGTTGGCTTTTGGATAGAGTGACTTAACCGTAGGCCCAGGGGAAGACATCGCCTCCATTTTGAACAAGAAGTTTGACAAATTAGGTTATCATAGATGATTGAAAAGTGAAACAAATTCTAGAATGATAGCATGAAAGGATAGGCCCAGTCTATAATGGAAGATTAGGGCCCATACACAGGGAAAGTTCAAGAAAAGCATGGTTAATTACAAAATTTACATAGGGTTTCCAGTTACCATAAATGGATTAGAATTTAAAATTCCAATCCCAAATTCTACAATTAGAAGACTATTTTTTCATTTAACATAATGAAATAACAAATGAAATTTAATAATTTTGATTTAAATTACTTTGCCATACTTAAATTGGTAGCTTCCATACCGACATGCTTTGGTTCAATATGAAATAAGCAGCTCCAGAGAACAGTCTTGCAATATCAATTTTTTTACAAAACCGCGTAAGAAGCTCTCTGAACTGCATATGCGCTAGAGTCGAATCTCACTATAAAGCTTTTTTTACGAATACATAGTAAAATCAATATTTTTTATGTAAGCTTCCGTACACTTTCAGAGAGGAAAGGTAACCTAGATAAGTATTTTATTTTTACTGCCAGGGTGGCTTATATAGCTGGAGCTGATTGATTGACACTCGGAAAATGCTGTTACCTAAAAAATTTAACGAAATAAAAGGAATCCTATATTATATTTCAGATATGGCACTTGTAGTCGGACCTCGGACAACACCACTATTGACACCACACAACCTTCTCATTAATTCAATTAACAAAGTCGATGTAGATACAGTAGTTAATTCGTTAACAAAATGGTCACAAGTAGGGTCAAAACAATTGAAAGAGTATATAAATACAGCAATATGTGGTCGCTGGAAAGACGTTGATCCAGTCGTTGTTCAGGAAGAATTAAAAAAGGCGCTTGTCGAATCCCGTCGTCAACAGGAGTGGAAGGATCCAAATCAGAGAGTAAACCCATCGTTCACTGAAGCATTAGAGGCATTGATGAATATCAGTTACAGAAAAAATGCCCCCAAGGAATCGGTTTGCAAATTTACTGAAGTAGGTATTCACATCCAAGGGTTAGTCAGGCAGTTAATAAAAATGGATCAGCTTCTGGAAAACTTCAAATGCTTCAAATCGACACGAGAAAAGTGCCATAATCTTCTCCAAAAAATAAGGAATTTGGGATTAGAAGATTTACCCAACAAAGAAATGCATAAAAAATTCAAGAAATCTAAGCTTGATAAGGCATACGCCTTACTCTTCAGTGTTGTCCCAATAATTATGGATATCATTGAACAAATTGTTGAAATCATTTGCTCTGAAATACCAAACGCAGATTTGACAGAAGAGGAGGTTAATGAATGGGCCAACAAAGCAAAGAAGCAAGTCGGTGAAGAACACACTGTGCATGTTATATGTGATCATTATTTTTGGCATATTAATGGTAACGATACTTCATTTTTTTGTAATATTTTTAATTTATGCAGGAAATTTTAGTATGGAAAATTGAATTCTATTTAATTGCTTTTTTTTAAATTCTTGTCTTAATTAATGACAATTAATGACAATTAAAATGACACATTTCCAGTATCTTTTGCTGGTCCTTAAAATTAGCTGGTAATCAATATAAAGACTTTTGTAGTTACTGTAAATCGATCTGTTTCTTCTTGGAAGTTTTATATTATCTTTTTATATGGATATTCAAAATTATAATTGATTTCTAAGGGCTCCCTATTTTTTTGGGTAGACAGTACATCATTAAAATACAAAGAATCTGATTCCACTAGGTCCCTCCATGCTAACATTTACATAATTTATATAGAAGATATTGTATTTAAATATGCCTAATTGTGAATTTAGTGAAGTTTTAAGACTATTTTTGTCTTTGCTAAATCCAATGATTATTATAAAAATATCTTGGGCATTCTCTACACCCCTGGTTCTTAATAAGCTCAATCGGCTAAATTGTTAGTAGTCACTGTGTGTGCAATGAACCGTAAAGATCTCTTGGTCCCCGGTCCAATTTCCATCGCTGCTCTCCTTGTATTGCTGGAGGGCTGAAATACAAGTTTTCGGATGAGACGTTTAAGCCGTTGGTCCCTTGTGCATCATGGCCTATGTGCACGTTAAAGAACGCAGTACACTCTTCGGAAAAGTGTCGGTGATTGTCTCCCAGTGTGCTGTCCAATCACTACCAGAAGACCCCACTAGAAATACTCTTCTTTCATGAGTTATCTTTGGTGTTTACACCGAATAAATTCAATCCAATCCCATTTTTTGAAGGGTCAAATTATTTTTAGAGTTAATCTCACGGGTCAGATATAAATGCTTCCGAGTGACCCAACATTAGGTGGACGTGTCATTAGTTTAGCAGTCGTTAGTCAACTTTTGTGGGTCATTTTATCAATGTAATTGATCACAATACAAAAACCTACCATACCCTTCTAGTCTCGAATTATTATTATTTTTTTAAGTACGGAACGATTTCCGCATGTACGCAGCACGCATACCGAAATGTATGTTTATGGGCACTGTCTTTGTTACACAAATTTTTATTACAACTGTAAAGTAAAGAGTGCTATTAACGAATCTCAGTGAACAGAACAAAACACACTGATGGAACCTGACGGCATAGAAGTCGTATAATTATGGAGGTATAAAATCAGATAGGCCTAATGCTACTATAGACTACTGTATAAGGGCTATTATTGACGAAACACAGTGATGAAAACAAAACACAAAGACAGAACATGGCGAGTCCCCGTATGACTTGCATTATTCTGGAGGACAATCAAAATGCAATTTTATAATCACAGTTCTTTAGTGTTTTTTTTTTGTCTAATTTTCATCATCATGTAAAATTAAGTACGGATGTTATTGACGATAAATTGCAAAATAACCTAAATTTTGTTGTGTTTACCATGGGTCTCAAATCAGGTACGGATCAGGACTCTGCATTCATTACAAGTTTAACATGTCTATGACTTTTACTTCTCCTTGGCTGCTATGTCAAATTTAGCAGAGCTAATAACACTACCAATCTTGGTAGATTTTTATAGTTTTATTTACAGAGGTTAATTTGAGAACTGTGTGGTGTAACCCCTACATCAAACTCGTGCTTTTTGCTTGTTTGAAGCACACAGTGAAGAATAGGACTACGGAAAGCACCCAGTGATCGAGTCTTGGCGCTATTTATTATATTTATGGCCTATCATCTTGTTGATGTTCAAAACATCCCCGGGCCCATTACCCAGGGGTTGCATGTTTGTCTTTACTTTATTGAAAATGTATTATCGAACTTTTAATATATTTAAACACATGTTTTTATTATTTTGTTTTCCCTCACGGCCAAATTAAATTGCCTTACTTGCGAGCCAACCCGCCTATATTAAGAACCAAGGCTCTATATAAACAAATCTCAATAAAAGTACAATTCCTGAAATAACAATTTCATTTCAACCAAAATTGCATTCACTATAGGACAATGCTTAATATACGTTTACATCCACCGTTTTTCAGTAAATCCTTTGGATAACGAAAGAGAAGAAATAAACAGGTTGACGAGACTACTGGAAGCAAGGACAAAAGGTAATGCCGATTATGTACAGTTATTGGCTTTCGAATTCAGTTCAAGCGAAATCAACTTTTATATAACACATCTCGTCTCTTTTCTATTTAGAAAATCAAGATCTGCATTTGGCTTTGAAGAAAAGTGATGCAGGTAAGGTTGATCCTATTCATTGCCTTTTAATAATTACTTCACACATTTATGTCTTTTTGTCTGCTTTATTGAATGTTCCTTATCAATAATTTATGTAATTTTGTGTTTTTACTGTATAAACTATTCGCCAGTTTTGAGTTGCTTTGTTTAGTACCAGTCTGTACTTAACTATGTCATTTCAACGGAATTGAATTTCATTCACTATAGAAGAATGTTTAATATACTTTCATATCTACCATTACGTATTTCACATCTTCGTTATGCACTTTTGATGACCAAACAAAAGAAATCAACAGATTGAGTTTACATGACGAAATAACCAGAGGCAACTGCCAATTAAGTCTAATTAGTTTTGTTTTTTTGTTTTTTTCAATTCAGTTTCAAATAATTTTAAATAACGAATCTCTTTTCTTTTCGATTTAGAAAACCAAGATCTTCAGTTAGCTTTGAAGAAACACAATTCAGGTAAGAGTTATCATATTCATCTACTTCAACAATCCTTCACAGGTTTATGTCTTTTTCATGCTTTATATGTTCCTTATCATTGATTTATGTATTTTCGTTTTCATTGCATAAACAATTCACCAGACTGGTGATTACATTTTTTTGTTTTTGTAAACTGTGATCATAAAAAATGAATTAAATTAAACCAAGATTAAGATTTGCATGTTGACTTAAATTTATAGACTAATTAGCAAGATGACATTAATTACCTTGTTTTATTTTACCATGACCTGATTTGTTAATTTGAAATTGTTAATTTTACTTTCATTTCCTTTCTAATATATATATATATATTTTTATTTTCTACTTCATTTAGGAGCAGAGTGTAGTTCTGAGACCCCAAAACATGAGTCAGGTATACCATATAATGAGTTGGATGCGTTATTAGGTTTATGCCGCCAAAAAGTGGGGCAATGCAATATGGTAACGCAGTTAGAAACTAATTATTCCACAGAGAATTTTGCATACGGAGTGTTTGATAGCAGAGGGGGAAATTTGAGCGTTGAGAATGGTGATATTAATTTGTTTATTCCACAAGGTGCAATTTCATCACCAAAACAGGAAATCTATATTTATATAGACCCAAAGGCACGCTTTTTGAAAGGAAATCAAGGTATGGAAAGTCAGGTGAAGACTCGGGTAGCACCAATCGTTACCTGTGGCCCGCCAGGAACCTCCTTCCTTAGCCACGTTGTCCTAACCTTTCCCCACAATGCAGTAGAAGAGGAGAAATGGCAATTCACTGCTATGCGCTCAGAGGGAGACAGACATTCCGGTGAGTGGCAAAATATAGATGACGTTGAAGATGATGATAGCATTTTTATCGTCGACGATGGCTTCTGTACGGTTATGGTGAGACATTTTACCCGTTTTACCATAACAAATTCAACATTTTAAAAAAGTTGTTGAAATTTTAATCTGAAATACAGGGGAACTTACTTTGTTAAGCGACCGCACGCGAGGCTGGAAAATATTTATAACAAAAAGATAAATATAAAGAAAAATCCCTCAGTTTCATGCAATGTGCAATCTTCAAGCCTGAGTGAATGATCTGCAGGAATGGTATATATAGAATATATAGACCCATTTAGTATAAATAAATGGAATAAATAGACCCATATATTCCAATCAGTTGATATTTTTTATAGAGGAAAATAGAAATATTTGCGCTGCATAATTTATATTGAGTAAATGAATACTAAATTACAATTTTTAATTGAATTTCACTAATTTGTCTATACTGCTCCCGGTTCTGTATCCTATTAGGTATTAAACAAAAACTAGGCTAAATAAATAACATACAGATAATATTTTAAAATCTGAAACGATATTTTTTTAAAGTATTAGAATGTTTTATAGGTTTTTCAGTTTCATTATGCTTTATTTTGATTGGAATATCCTTTTAGATAAAACCAAAAATTCTTACTCTTTTTTTAACGTAAACAGTTTCGGTGACTCCTAGTAACCATCGCCAGTATGAATGTGGCTTGGTTGGTTAATACTACCATGGAGGAAATATATGAAGATATATTATTTTCTTCAGACGATGTACGTTACCACCAGCAGTTTTCAAAATAAAACCTATAGAGATAAGCAAAACAAATGAAAACATGAACTATGATGAAGGTGCATACCATCTGTCCCGTATATAAATATCCCCTTCTCTCGACTTTCCATTCAAGAGGTGGGACGGGATCTACTTTGAAAACTAGTGGCGCCAATCAACGTGCATCGACTGAACAAAGTAGTAACAAATCAAACCAAACCACATTTGTGCTGACGACGGTAACTGGTAGCCAGTGAAACTGTTTAATTACGTATAAAAAAGTACCCTAAGCATTTTTGGTTTTATCTAAAAGGAAAATAAAATCAAAACGAAACAAAATATTGAGGTTTTAGGTACATTATACTCATGATATAGTAAAGTAAATAAAGCAATATAGGTGACAGGAAGGTTTTACGATATTTGAAAATATTCATATGATTAACACTTTTTGTGTAGCCCTATGTTTTATGACTACTAGCCTATCATGGAGGTTTGTTTGATGATTAGCTTTATTGTAGAGGAGTTAACTCTAATAGGTGTTATCAAGGACTTTCAACTGTACAGATAAAAATCTTTTAATCTGTGACAATAAATGTTCCTTTTTTTATGCCACCATATAGGCCCATAATAAGGCCTAGACAAAAATGTTTTTTTTTTTAAATTCGTTAATACAGTTGCGTGTGTAGTCAAAATAGCTTAAATCACAAACAAGCAAATACTGTACTAAAAATGGTTGTTACTATCATAGAGGTTTTAAAGTGATTAGCTTCATTTTAGAAGACTTAGCTTAGATTTCACTTTGATTGAGTCAATGACTTTCATAAAAAAAAGTTCTTGATTGTGACAAAGTAACAATCATTGTTTGTATGCCACTAATACAGGGATTTTTTTTCTTTTTATTATCAATGCGTTGAATATATTTTATATTGATATGTGTAGTCAAATGGTTGATGAAAAAGATCCCAAAGACAGATTCAAACTTGACTTTTACGTATAGTCGAAAGACTTATATACAGTATTTAATACTGTATTCAATGCATGGTACTGGTGAGGATGAAGATAATGATGACGATGGTGTTGATAATGTTGTTGTTGATGATGATGATTTGATAGCAATGTTGGTAATGTTTTATGATGATCAAGATGGCCATGATTATTTATTGTATATGTTGTAAACTGATGATGATGACAACAATGATATTGATAATGATAGTCAAATTATGATCTGATGACAGCGAGGGTCATGATGATCATGAATTCTGCATTATTTTATCCAAGGATGTATTTAATACCTTTTTGCTTCATCGTATATGGTATAAGAGTTTATAAAAATTAAGATACCATATATTCACAGCTATCTACCTTGCATATTTGTCGTGATATTTTGTTTTAAAATTCATCAACATAAATATTTAACACTCTCAATTTACAGTTTACATGGAAGCTCTCGGATTACAATTGTTATACAGTATTGCATTATCAGTCCGTAATATAGATTGTCAGTTAAAAAAACGTTTTGTCTTAAAATATATTGCAGCCAAGAATATCAGAAATACAAAAAATCCACTTATAATTTTGAATCCCTCATTTAAAACAACCAACTAAGTATGATTTAATTCCAACAAGAAACAAATCGAAGAAAAATTTCAGATGAACTGATTACCATGCCAATTTAGGAACCTATGCAAATGAATATTGTTAAATTTTTTTTCTGACTCAGATTTTTAGTAAGGCTGACCCCAAAAAGGATACTGGTCCGGACGGGATTGGAGGAAAGATCTTGAAGCTAGCAGCCCCTAATATTTCAAAACCTCTCTCTCACATCATTGATAACATCATCAATAAAAGAACTTTCCCAGAAATTTGGAAACACTCAATTGTCACACCTATTCACAAATCTGGTGATATCAACGTCCTCAACAATTACAGACCTATTTCCATATTATCCAACATATCAAAAATCATCGAAAAAATACTTCACAACTTTATCAACATCTCACAACACATAATATTTTATGCCCAAGTCAATCTGGTTTCAGATCTGGTTTCTCTACGCTCACAGCAATGACCAATACCTTAAATAACTGGTATATGAACATTGACAAAGGTTTATACACAGGGACCGTGTTTATCGATCTCCGCAAGGCTTTTGATCTTGTCGACCATCAAATTCTCGTCAATAAACTCTCTAGCTTTGGTATCTTCCACTCATCTTCTCAATTAATCAAATCCTATCTTTCAAACCGCTCTCAGTGTGTCAAAATCGAATCATTTATTTCTACTGCTAATAGAGTTTCAATGGGGATTCCACAAGGCTCTCTCATTGGACCCCTCCTCTTTACCTTATTTATAAATGATCTCCCACTTTCTATTAAACATTCTACAATTGACATGTACGCAGATGACACAATAATATACTACTCATCATTATCACCTCATACTATCGAAAGCAAACTTAACCAAGATCTCTCTCATATTCACAATTGGCTAAGAGAAAACAAACCAATAATGAACTGTAAAAAGACATCATCAATGCTCATTGAAACACAGAAAACTTAAACAACACAATAACATTCATCTTACATACAATGGAACCCCCATCTTACAAACTTGAAAACACCAACATTTAGGTATTTACATCGACCATAATTTAAATTTTTCTACTTACATTAATCAACTTCGCTCTAAACTCAGTTTTGCAATATCAATATTAGCACGCGCACGACAATTCATAGATAAACATACATCAACACTCATTTACAACACGATAATTCTACCACATATTGATTATTGCTGTAGTGTGTGGGGAGCCAGGTCTGAAACCAATATTGACCGAATACAGGTCATGCAAAACAAAGCTTTTCTCATCATTCTTAACGCTCATCCACTCACCCCACGAATCAACATTTACAACACCCTCAACCTACATACAGTGAAAGATCGTATACACTTTCAACTGGGCTGTCTGGCTTTTAGATCTGCCAACGGTCTCGCCCCGGACTATTTAACTCAAATCTTGCCAGAGTTCCCACAAGACGTACCCGCAATGCTACCCGGGGGTGTTTTATAACTCCGTTCCCCAAAACGGAGACCTTCAGGGACAGTTTTATCTACAAAGCTCCAAAATTTTTTAATTCTCTACCATATGAAATTCGAAATGCATCTTCTGTAATCTTATTTAAAAAAATGATAAAGAAATATCTTAGACCCAAAGAAAAATCTATACGGAACTGTCCCTGAAGCTCACAATTTTTTTAATACCATTTTAAAAAAATACATTTTTTAATGCATTTTAAATGCTTTTTTAATGCTTTTAAATCTTTGTACATGCATGCTTTCCTTTTTCTATTTATATCTCTATATATATTTACATTAACTTTGCCTTGCCGTTGTTTTGTATTTTGCTGCTTTTTTACGCGAGGGCCCCATGATTGTCAGCTAACCGCTGTTTTGGGTTACCCTCGGTAAATAAAGTTTAATAAAATAAAAATAAATAAATTTAAAAAAAAAACAGTATAAGCTGCTATTGAAATGTAGGCCCTGGATGTGTGCTTCAAAAGGCTGAACGATTCTTTATACAACATATAAATTCTTCCATAAATTGGTCTTTGGTTTAGAAGATGTTAGTGATCACAGCAAGTTATCATCAGCTGTAACAAAAATGCGCACTGGGTACAAAATGACATTGCGTTTATGTTTATGCAATAGGTATTAACTTTAGATAAAATAATAGATAAAACTTATAATTGTTGATATTTTGCGTTTATATCCAAGATTAAAATGATGGTTAGAGGAATTAATGAAATAATGCAATACAGCACTGACCCATACATTTTCACCACAAATGAATAGAATTTCTCTGAAAAAAATTAACTATTATGTCAAATTCACCAGGAAATACCTGTTATTTCAAGGAATGAGGTGACATATTAAAAATTACAAGCCAGAAAGAAAAACATAAATCCCTGAAAAAAACAGTGTAATGTGATTAGTCTTCTCTTTTTCTATTTAAATTTAGATGTGTTTTTTAATTTTTAAAACTTATTTTTAGTATTATTACATTATATTCTGCATTAATTTATACAATTAACATAAGTGTGAAAAACGAGGGGCTAACATTATATGTATATACACATACATACACACTCCCACACACATATATACATATATATATATATATATATATATATATATACATATATATATACTTTATAATACATATAAACACATTTATACACATACACCCACCAATAATAATAATAATAATAATAATAACAATTATAATTATAATAATAATAATAATAATAATAATTATTATTATTATTAAAACAACAATAGCAGCAGCAACAGCAACAACAAAAACAAAAACAACAACAAAACAACAACAAAAACAACAACAAAACAAAAACAACAACAAAAACAACAACAACAACAACTACAACAACTACAACAACAACTACAACTACAACTACAACTACAATTACAACTACAACTACAAACACAACTACAACTACAACTACAACAACTACAACTACAACTACAACAACAAGTACTATCGAATTCGCCGACAATTTATTTTTCTGATGTTGTGATTGATGTCGACAAATGTTTTGTTTTGTGGAGGACTGGGTAGTCGTCATGGAAAGTCGTTATTTATAAATACCCATACATGCAGACACACTTTCAATATATTAATCATGCAATACAAGATTCTGCCAAAAAATATTAAATACAGGCCTATAATAAACACATGTTCATTTATATTTTTATTAAATATTTTAGTACTAAGAAAATCATAAGCGACTGTAATAACTAAAGCAATACAAAAAGGCGATTTTTTAAATTGGTACAAACTGATATAAAAAGGAAGACAAGATACAAAATACCAGGTGTGACTTTACTGCAAATTTAAGGAAAAATTGAAATGTACAATATACTTTAAAGTATTAATATTTTAAATGTTTGAAAATTCACCAGAACACGACGTATTACAAAAATAAACAGTAAAGTTTAAATATACAAGTGGAGGACACATTACAATATTAATTGGTAGGTATCTTTTATTCATCCGTATAAAATTCAAAATATAGCAGCACAGGATGAACTACAGTTTGAATGTACGGTACAAATTAATCAAATCAATAAATTAATGGGTACTGTATATACAATTCAATAAATGAGAAATAAATTAGGTTAGCTATATACAAATTGAATTTAAAAAAAAACCTGATTGATTATCTGTTTATATATACATTAGATACATAGAATGAAAAAGTAAAATAATAAGGAAATGTACATCAAAATAGATAATCATGCACTTAAAAAACTAAATATTCATTAATAAATAATAATTATGTAACAAAATTGCACAAAATTGTAATACAATAACAAAATAAATAAGTCAAAATAAAATATCGATGGTGCACAAGAACATATATACGTCACATAAATACCGTCTTAAAAGTTATTACTTGGGGCAGGGGGTTGGGTTTGTTCAGACTTTAGGCAATGAACTGGGAGTTGGGAGTTTGAAGTTAAAAGCATTTCATGTAAAATAAAACAAAAATAAAGCGACATGTATACTGACAAAAGCATTCCTTAATAAACGACAGAATAGAATTTCGAATATTTTGATGAAGATTATTATTAATTTTTTTTAAGTGACTAAGCATTTTTAAGTATCAGCAAACATAATTAAATTCATCATAAAGTTATTCTTCTCCTTTGTCTCCCTTTCCATCTTCTTCCCATTCTTCTTCTTATTTGTCTTGTTTAGCAAGGGATTAGCCAAACTTATTTGACGAACAATATAAACTGTTAAAAATATAGTAACTGTCTATAACATCACCTAGGCCTATTATTTTATAAATAGGTTTTATTTATTAACGATCTTAATTATTTTTTCATAGAACGTTGGTAACAGAAATAAGCTAATTTCATTTGTTCCCAGTGATGTGCCAGGATCTGCACAACGGGGAGGGGGAGGGAGCTAGGCGATCGAAGTTAGCCTCACTTGGCTGGGAGACCAGCCGCCTAGAGGCCACCGGGGATGGGGATACGGATATTTGACGAATTTTGGTGAATTTTTATTAGTTATTTTGCCTGAAATCCGTAAACCTCAAGGTTGCTTCCCCAATCAAGATGTATTCCAATCATCATGAGGATATCCAAACGAGCATTTCCATTTTTA